GAGCTTCATTACAGAGGGAAGCAGCCCACTGCAGCAGTGGGTCAGGCTGCCAAGGCCCTGCACTAAGTCCCCCTCTCCGTGGAGAGCATCTTTAGCAGGACGGAGTTACACAAGCACCGCCTGACTTCTGCTCACTTTGGCATCTCCAATACCTTTCTTTTTTCCCCCCTTTAAATTCGCGCAGCAGGGTGCAGTCTTTTGAGAACCCATGTGCAAGCTCATCTCTTTTCATGCCAGCGCAGCCTTTCCTCCCCTTCCTCTTCTCTCTTCCCTTTCCCATTACTCTCTTCAAGGTCTGAAAGAAAACACTTTTCAGATACTTAAAGGTTACAAGTTAACTTAGTTCAGCAGTACCTAAAAGAAGGCATTTCTGCTCAAAGGAAAGAAAACAAACAGGGTACCTTGTGATCTCTAAAAGCACAGCAGCAGATTTCCGCAAGGCTCTATCCACATGGAGCAAAGCAAGACCTTACTGAAGATTCTCTCCTGTTTGTTCAAGAATTCCCTAATTATCTCAGGAAAATAATAGCTGGCTTAGTTTAAACAGGTGGTTTAAATTTTGCCTTAAGTCTATTAGGGAAGAGTGCACCTCTGCATACAGAGAGAAGCGCGGTGCAGCAGGAGCAGTAACCCCAGGCGAGGGGAGATGACAAATAGCAATTCAATCTCAAGCTGTTTGCAACCTAAATATCTATCCCCAGCTCCATGCAGCAAAGCCCTCATTTGATTTCACCCTGCGTAGATAAAAAGCATTAGACATCACAACACAAATCTCACCAGTACCTTAGGCAGGGCCAGTGTTTAATAGCACAGATTAGCTATGAAACTACTGTAGCAGCAGCAGACTTTAATGTGGTCTTGGCTCTGTTTAAACACTGACAGTGATTTTAAGGGACAAGTTCATCCTTGTTCTGCCCTAATTATTTCAACATATTAGCACCTGAGGAATATCTGACTCAACCACCCCCCCCCACCCCCCAGTCTAAAGTCATTATTTACACACAGGCCAGCATGGATTACATGACAAACATGACAGATCACTTCTCTTCTCCTGTAAGAGTGCCATTAAAAATCAAATGAGGATTTAGTTAGCTATTGACTGAACCGCTGGGGGGGGGAGGAAGCTGAAGGACTTAATGCAGAAAGAAATTATGGAAACTAGAGAGTCAATCAAAGCATTGCCTTAGGTCAGCTCATTTGTCCTCCAGCCAAAGCAGGGCTGTCGCTGCCCCAAGCTCTCTCCAACCACAATGTTTTGATGTTGGGAACCCATCCATAGCATAGAAGGTGATTTTATTGTCCCATAAATATCCCACTCAGAAGTTCTGCATGCATTCATACAAGCTTCCTTATCTGAACAGCCCCATTCCTGCAAGGTATGCCCACCTTCTGCTACATTCTGCACCCCTGCTATGCCAGCCACCCTGTTGCAATGAATCTCTCCATCTTCTGCACTGCCTGGGTGGTTATTTGGCAATATGCACAAACTTGTGCCTCACACGTTCCCAACTCCTCTTTCTGTACTTGCCAACAGCAAGGCTTGCACTCAAAGTGTTGGTCCTGCCCTAAAAACAAAGGGGAATATGCCTAAAATGAGAAGAGGAATTTATCAAATCCACAGCTGTTATCATTTTTGCTTGGCTGTATTTTAGGTCAGAATAAGAAAATGCCAACAACCCCATACCACACCCCAAACAAAACCCAGCTGCAGATACACCTATCTGGGACACACCACTGAACTTAAAGCAAGTGCTTCAATTTGCCAACTGATGGATGCCAGCTTGGGTACCACAACAAGGACCAAATGAGGGCAGCTCCAGAGCTAAAACCAGCTCTACCACTTGCATTAGAGCCACAATACTCCTGCTCAGGCTACAAGCTACTGGGTCTGGGAAGCTGGGGAGTACAGAGCATAGATGTGCTAACAGAGGAAAGCTCTTTCACAGGAAGGTGACAAACGGAGGTTCAATTTGCTCACAGACACCTTTCTCCCACTCCCCAATTCCCACCTTGTCTTCCCATGCCTGTTTGGGAAGCAACTGCTCAGTTGCTCCCTAAAGAGCCTTCTTCACGTCCCCATCCACCCATCCATTCATCTCTCCCTTCAGTTGCCTTGCCAGACCCCAGCCCTGGGCTACAGAAATCACTGGCCTCTCACAGCTCCGCTCTGAAGCACAGAAGATGATGAAGCTCAAGAGGCAGCAAATTTATCCCAGCTCTGGCTCTTCCCAGCTCCCTTCATCTCACCAGTCTTTGGGTCCCTCCATACATGAGGCTGGGAGACACTCAAGCATCCCAGAGCAGTTTGAACTTCTTTTTGCAACAGTTCTGGAATGGGCAATTTAATACAGCATAGGGCACGTAGGTGATGCTGATAAAGCAAATCAACAGCATCAAACCCAATGATCTTAAGGTCCTTTCCAACCCTAACTATTCTATGATTCTTTGATAAGAACAGGACTAAAATACAAGAAAACTGTACAGAGTATGACCATGAAATCACCAAGCCCTGAACCCCCTTCCAGAAACTCATAAGACATTAATAAGGAATTGGGGAAACAGTAAAAGACCAAAGGAAATATTTACTGCTGCCTTCCTGGTATATTCTCTCTGCTGCCAGCAATTGGCATCTTGGGGACTTCTTGAATCACAAATAATGCATACATTGCATTTAGGTCTTTGCAGACTCAAATTACTCAAGAGGAAGGGCCCCTTGGCTCATCTGTGCTTTTTAACAGCAATCACTCACCTATTGAGTGATTTCTAGCTTTTGGTCCATTTTTATACGTCTCTGTTTTGGTTGCTGAGAGACAAAATTTCATCTTATTAATAGGGTATATTTCTGAGCTATATTTTAATTTTCTTCTTGCTGTAGTAAATATAGCTTGAAAATGCTAGTATGCATTAGCACAAGTCTTTTTAAATCCAACAAATGTAGTAAGTTTGGAAAAAAATAACAAAACAAGCATAAATGCCAACACATATTTGTAAATATATATATACATATATATATATATATATATATATATATACACATCAGGTTGAGGCTAAAGCATCTTTCCACTACCTAAAGAAGCAGGTGTCCTGCTGGTGTTTCTGAGATGTTCCACATCCCTGAATACGTTCAAGGCCACGCTGGACAGAGCTTGGAGCAACCTGTTCTAGTGGAAGGTGTCCCTGCCCATGGCAGGGGTTGGAACTGGTTGAGCTTTAAGGTCCCTTCCAACACAAACCAGTCTGGGATTCTATCAAAGCAGAATAAAATAAAGTAGAAAGATATCCCCAAAATTGCATTACTTAAATAGAAACCCCCTTGCCATGGATTCCTTGCTTTTTCTCCCCACATTCTATACCAATATTTCCTGGAACAATTCCCAGCCTACACTTTTAAATTATCACTTCATTTCCAGTACCTTCTCTCCACAGCAAGGAAAATCACTGCTATATAACTTCTTTTACAGCCAAGATGGGAAACCCTCCATGAGATTACCCATTCCCTTCCCTTGTAAAATAGAGAGGAAAATGTCATTCCAGGAAATAGAAATGTTAAAAAAAGGCCAATGAAACAAAGGCAACTCCTGCACGCAATGTTGTTCTTCCCCTCTGAGTCAGTAATAAAGAGGAAGGAAGGAAAAAACCCAGATAAAACAAATGCAAGGAGGAGGTGTGGATGCAGCATGTTTATCCCCGTGGAAGAGGGGAGGCTGTAAGAGGCCGTGCAGCGCATACGGACACCCCAACCACCGCCTGGGTGTTTACAAACATTTTGATGCAACCAAATAGGGAGTTTCATTGTCCCCACTGCACTCATGTCACCCGTCCCCCAGTGCTGAGATTCCAGGAACAGGCTGCCAGAGGACACACAGTGCCAGTTACACAAGAGAGGCGCAGAAGCAAACATGCAGCAGAAGGAAAGGAGGAGAAATAAGATGAACCAGCTCAGATGCACGCTCTCTTCCTGCTCTCACCAGCCTCCAAGTCAGGCTTTGGAGCAGATTAACTTTAAAGGGCACCAAAAGATGCTGACAGATCTGAGGCGAGCAGGACCCCTCTGTCTGCACACACAGCACAAAATTAGATGGCTGGGGACCACAGTGACGATGCAGAAGGGGACAAAACCTTCTGATGTTATGCATCACTAGTTATATTGCACTAATATCATCACACTGTTCAAGTCAAACTCTGAACTGCGCCTCGCAAACAGGAAGGGTACAGGGAGACAAAAAAGCCATGCTAAAATGAAGCTCTGCTGGAGCACAAAGTTTTCACGAAGTTTAAAATATACACTTCTTGTATTCAAGATAAAAGGGAAAAAGACCAGAGTGGTAGTTTGGAAGTTGAAATAAATCACCAAGCAATGATTTTGAAGATGGATACTAGTGATATGACTTGGAAAAGAAGCCTGGACCAAGTACACACAGCCAGAACTAAGCCAGTTCAACCCAAATCTCCCTGAAAAAGGGGAGGAATGCGGGTGCCAAAACACAGAACCCGGACGACACAGCGCCGCAGCCCTCGCAACCCCATCCTGCTACAGACTTGAATTATTCAACTCTTTAGCAGTCTTTATTTTGCATTCCCCAGGAGCCCCGGGTCTCGCAGGAGCTCAGCACCAAATTACAGACACCAATTAAAACCCTATCTTATTTTCCGCTACTATATAGCGCAGAAGACAAACGGGACAGCGTATGCGTCTCCCGCACGGTGTCAGCGGTATTTCGGGCTGCCCGGAGCTGCGGGACGCGCAGCGCGGCCGCGGAGGTACCGCGCCTGCCCAGCGGGCAGGGAGGGGTGCTCTTCTCCGCGGTATTTCTCCGATTTAGAGGTTTTGCGGCTTATTCCCCCCCAACCCTTTTCCAGCAATAGCAGGGAAAGGCAGCGCAGCCCCGCTCGGCACCGCTTATCCCCGCATAGCATAGGGAAGCGCATCGGGAGATGGTGGGTGGTAAAAGGAGAAGGAAAAACACACACACATTACAGAAAAGGAGCGCAGAACTCACCTGGTTTGGGATTTTTCCTCCCCCTCCACGACCATAAAACGAGGCGGGAGCCAGGAGCCGGTCACCGGCGATGGGAGAAGCTGCCAGCCGCGGACCCCACGATGGGGATAGCGGGGCCGGGTGCGATGCAGCCCTCACGCTCCGGGGTAGGTGTTGGAATAGCCCCCCTGCGGTGCAGCCCCCGGGGATAGGTGCAAGGCAGCCCGCTCCCCCGGGATGGGTGCTGGCCGCCCGCCCGCCGCAGGGCAGCTCCCGGGATGGGTGCAGCGGGGCTAGGCACAAGGCAGCCCAGCTCGGGGATAGGTGCTGAGCCCACCCCCCCGTACAGCACCCCGGGATGGGTGCTGAGCCACCCTCGGGCCAGGACAGCCCCCCCGGGACGGGTGCAGCGGGGCTCGGTGCAAGGCAGCGCTCTCCGGGGATGGGTGCAGGGCAGCACCCCGGGCTGCAGCAGAAGCAGGCGGCCCTGGTGCTGGGGGCCGGAGCAGGAGCGGGCCCCCCCCGGCCGCGGCAGCGGGAGGCGGCACCAGCGGAGCACAATGAACGGCGGCGCCCCCGCGGCCGCCCGCTGGGCAATGACATCACCTCTCTCGCCCGCCGGGGCGGGGCGAGCGGCACGGCCGCCGCCTCCCCATTGGCTGGCCCCTGACGGCAGCGGGGGATTCTGGGGCTTGTAGTTTTGTGAGGGGAGTTTCCAATGGAGAAGGCGTTGGGTGAGGACTACATTTCCCGGCAGGCACCGCGCTGCGCGGCTGCGGTCGGGAGGGAGAGGGGCTGAGGAGGAAGGTGATGTGGCCGCCATGTTGATGGCGTGGGACAGTTTTAGCTCGGGAGAAGCGGCCGGGCCGCCGGGTTGAAATGTCGGCAAAGGGGGAGGATGGGAACCAGGTTTGGGCTCAGGGGTGGACAGAGCTTGTGTGTAGCGGGTAAAAGAGAAGGGGGAGGTTGCGGAGTCGCCCAGCGGACGCTGCGGGTTGGTCGTGCAGGGCCATGAAGGACACGGCGTAGCGGGCGGTTGTTTCTCGGTGCCCGCTGGTTCTGGGTAGGGTAGTGCAACGCCATGTGGGGAGTGAGGCAGAGGCAGGAGTCCCTTTGGGAGCTCACCCCTTTTGCGGGCCGGAGGGGAGCCCGTGAGCCCGTGGCAGCGGGGCCCTGCGGCGGGTAGGCCTCTGCAGCGAGGGAGCGGCGCCCGCTGAGGTGGGTCTGAGGGGGGAGCGGTGGGTGGCTGCTGGGCACGGCTGTGAGGGCAGGCGGCTGCGGAGCTGTGCTGGGACGGTGCTAGTTGCGGAGGGGAGGCTGCTGCGTGCGGTGCAGGGAGCCGGGGCGGCTCCGGTGGCTGTCGGGGTTGTGTCCCTTGCGCCCTGCGGGGACAGGGGCTGTAGCTACCCAAGTGTTCGGGCGTAGACTGTGGTTTACAGAGCGGCGCTGAAGCCTTGGTTTGGCCTTGGTGGGGAGGCCCTCGGCAGGGAGCGGCTGGAACGTGCCCTTACCGCACAGCAGGTGACAGTCTGCGCTTGCTAGTTTGGGGCTCTTTTAAGGGTTGTGGCTGATGCCTGATAACTGTATTAGTAGTGTTTGGGTGTCAGATAAACGTGGCTTAATGTGACCAGCAGGAGGAGCTTTGTTCCCTCCTAAAGGCAGCTGTCGTCGGTGCGTCTGAAAGAGGGTGTATTTAGAATTAGATACAAGGAAGAAGCTCTTCCTTGTGAGGGTGCTGAGGTGCTGGCACAGGGTGCCCAGAGAAGCTGTGGCTGCCCCATTCCTGGCAGTGTTCGAGGCCAGGTTGGACGAGGCTTGGAGCAACCTGCTCTAGTGGAAGGTGTCACTGCCCTGCCTGTGGCAGGGGGTTGGAACTGGATGAGCTTGCTCTAGTGGCAGGTGTCACTGCCCTGCCTGTGGCAGGGGGTTGGAACTGGATGAGCTTTAATGTCCTTTCCAACACAAACCGTTCTGTGATTCCATAGCGACATAAAACAACCTTGAAAAAGCTGAGAGAAATGATGTGATATTGTAAGACCTGTCAGCATGGTATGGGAGCAGACAAGCTAACTTTGCTCCCTGATTTCTTATGTATGCTTGTTGTCTAGTGTAGGCATGGCTTAGCCAGCTGACTAGATGCTCTCTGAGTTTTAGCATACCCTCTGACTGGCATCTAGAAGGTAGGATAGGTTTTGAGCAGCGCATTGTAGACTCCTTGTGCTGAACACCATCCCTGTCCTAGTTTCTGTTAGGGAAGGGGGGATGATCTGCTCATCAAGTGAAAGATTTAACTAATCTCTGTTAGGCTTAAGGGGACTGGAGTTGCTTGAAATAACATGTAGAAGATAACGCCTTTGATATGGGAGGACACTCAAAAGTATTGCATGTTTTGTGAAATAACCCTTTCTAGTTACAGCTGATTTCCTGTGCAATAAAGTACTTTATTAATTCAAGAAGATACTCCACTGAAAGGAGATGTGATGAATTTTACAGGCTTGCTGGAAGTCCTGGCTAAAGTCTAATAGTGGTATAGGCCAGGAAGAATGGGGTTCCAAGGTTTTTATTTCATACTTTGGCTCCTCCTGGAGGTAAGTACAATGCATTTGCTTAGAATATTGCTTCACAGTAACTACAGAGATGCAGTAGGCTTGTATGCTCCGGGATGCACTTGTATGGTGGAGGAATGATGTTGTGAGATATTCTGTGATGCACTTACTTCACCAGAATCTTGCAGCCTTTCAAGATATGTTGGTGTTACAGCAGTGTGCGCCATTCTTTTGTCTGTTTCAGTCCACACTGCTGTAACTTTCAGTAACGTTTGCATATACCTGAAAGAGTTCTGAATTACAAGCACAGCTTCTTCTGTTTCTTTTCTACTCGGTTGCTTCTCTGTGCAGACACTTTCAGTTTACATGTGACCACTGCGGACTTTAACCCTATGCTTGTATAATGCAGCTTATACCAAGTAATGATGGTAAGTATTGCAGTGGACTAACTGGGGGAAAGATTGGTTGTCTCTTCTGTAACTGGCAGAAAAGGAGTGAAATCTGTCTGCTGGCCTAATGACAGTTTGCTTTGTTATTTAAACTGGTTGAGAAAAAATTGGTTTCACCTCTGTTGATTCCTCTCTCTTCTTACCCTCTGTGTCAGTGCTGCTGCTCAAGGGAGGAGACAAGGATGTATTCTGCTTTCCAGATAATGTTTCATTGTTTATACCATGTTTCTTTGAGGATGCCTCAGCTAAGAGTTGCTATAGCATGTTGAAATGCAGAAAAAAAGAAATAAACTTCAGAAAAGACCCAAAGTAATGCTTGTTGCAGGAGACAAAATAGGTTTGTGTGCATGCTCACTTTTATCAGTTTGGGGTATCTGATACTTGTCAGTGTATCTTACTGATCACAACTTGTCAAGAGATGTCAGTGATGAAACCTGTATTACATGTCTGAAACTTGGATGCTTTATTCAGCTGAAGTGCTAATGTCTTGAGTCTGCTCTGCCCCAACAGGCCTCACTTGCAAGATCCACAAGAAACTTGCAGAAACAAGCATTGTTTCAGCATTTCTTAAGACAGAAGGTGATGATAGAATTCGAAGTCTTTGGCATTTCTTAAGCACATTGGTATGCTCTGGTTTAGTACTGTTAACAAAAACTTATTCTGGCATCCTGCACTGCAGAAAGCATGGGTTGTCTTTGCTACTGCAGTGATTTTAGTCACAGTGGACTCAGGTAAGGAACCACCCAGGGTCTTGGAGACCAGGATAAGTGTTTGGAAGATCCTACTGGAGGGAATCACGGAATGGTTGCGGTTTGGAAGATGCAGATCAGCATAAGTAGGAATGTGTGATGCCTTTGATGGGAGGAGAAATTGCTTACTCTTTTAAGTTCATATATTAAAAACCTGGCTTCGTGTCTCAGCTTTCATTCTCGCAAGGTCTTGCTCTTCATGAAAACTTCAAGGATTTGAATACTCTAAATTGAACCTTCTGGGGATAATACACCAAAACCACACAGTCTGCATGAGAAGCACACATGAGATTTGAGTGTACAGAGATGTGATAACACAGCTTTTAAGGTGTGTGATGTTCTGCTGTCAGGGTCTCAACATCCTTGTGAGTGCAGAGTTGGGGACTGGAGGGATGTTGGGGTTGTCTCAGTTCTTGCACATCAGTTGTCAGGCCTGATGTATGCAGATTAGATGGATAAAAAGATGTTCAGGTGCACTCACAAAGTGGAATATGGTTTCTAAGGGTGGTATGATCTATACTAGTTTTGGCACTTTTGTTTTAAAATCCCATGATCTTGATCCTCCCAGTTATAAATTGTAGTTGTCCACAGTCACAGAGGGAGGAGAGCTGGAGTGTTGCTCACCAACTGCTTACTCCATAGCCTGTGGGGGCATGCTGTAAAGTATGTTAAAGGCAGTGCTCAGAGTCTGGAGGCTGAAGAAACTGCTACAGAGGGTTTTTGTTTGCAATTATCTCCCAAAGAGCTGGCAGAGCTGCAAGCTAAAAGGTGAGAATTCAGCTAGGTGGAACAGGTGAGTACTTCTGTATCTGTTAATGCTTCCAGGTATCTTAATGATACACACTTGTGTTGTCTATCTTGTTCTTGAACAGGGAGCACTTGGAAAGACCCAGGTAAGAGTGGAGGACTTCCGTGGCCTTTCAGATGTTCTTAATGAAATTGTGGGGAGGCAGCTGCTAAATCACTTTCTGGAAGAAGCTTGTATTCCTGCGTAGCCAACTGGATTGTAAAGCTTCTCTGAAAGTAATTCTAGTGGCTAACTATAAAGTGTTCACCTTTTTTGTCTTTCAGCACAAGAAGAGTGCTCCAGGAGCAGTCAAGAACCTCTTCAGGTAGCATGGACATGTTCTTCAAGTGAAACATGGGAACAGTTTGATAGCAGTAGCGCAACAGGCAAGGTGTGCAGGCTGCTGTGAGTCCCTGGTTCATAAGAACTGGTATCCAAAAGAACTCCATTAGAGAGAAAAACTCCATTTCTTCCACAACTTTTAACTTGCTTGAGTTTAAGTGAGAGCTCACCTCACACTGAAACAGGAAATCACTTTTACTGTAGATACTAGAGAAGGTAATTGAAACAGGGCTAGTCAGAGCATTGTGAGCCTTGGAAAAACTGCAGGTAGTTGAAGAACCTGTAGTTGTGGTGAGGGCAGACATTGTTTAAGGGCACCTGAGCAGTGGGGGAAACCTTTGACCAGGGGAGACTCAAAAGCTGAGGATGTTACTGCAGCCATTTCTTAGCTATGTACACATAACGTCTCTTCAGGTGAGGTGGCCCAAGGTAAACACTGAAGACTGTAGGGTGTAGGCAGGTCACACTTGTCTTGAGAGCGTACACACACACCTTGAACAGCTTCAGGTTTTGTCAGACAAGCATTTACTGATCTAAAAACAATAGCTCTGCAGGGGTTGGGTAGACCAAAGTCATGCACCTGGTGGCAGCACTGCTCTGAAGGTGAGCCTTCGCCAGCTATGTGCTGCGAGACGTATGTGCGCAAATGA